CAATATCTACAATGCTGGGGACCACTGGAGGAGGCCAAGATGGATAATCCGTTTGGCACTTCTGGCTGAAGATTGTTGTGAATGCTTCAGCCTTGTGTTGAGCTCCTTGATCATTTGAGGATGGGGATATTTGTGAAGCCGCCTCCTCCAGTGAGTTGCTTAACTGTCTGCCATCATTCACAACTGGATATGGCAGGACTACAGAGCTTAGATCTGATCCATTAGTTGAGTGGTCACTTAGCTCTGTCTATCACTTGCTTATTCTGTTTGGCATGCAAGTAATCCTGTTTTGGTAGCTGCACCAGGTTGACACCTCATTATTAAGCATGTCTGGTGCTGCCCCCCTGCACTTTTTATTGAACACGGGAGTTAACTGTTGGCTTTATCGTAGTGGTTGAATGGGAGATATGCTGGGTCATTAGGTTGTGATTGTGCTGTTGTTGATGGTCCATAGCGCCTCATGGATGCCCAGTCTTAAACTGCTACATTTGTTAAAACTCTGTCCCATTTAGCACAATGATAGTGCCACACACATGATGGAAGGTATTTCCAACGCAAGTGTGGGACATCATCTCCACGAGGACTGTGTGATGGTCACTCTTATTGATACTGTCACGGACAGATGCATCTGCAGCTGGCAGATTAGTAAGGGTGAGATCAAGTATGGTCTTCCCTCACTGCTGCTGCAGACCCAGTCAAGCGGGTATGTCCTTCAAGACCTGACTAGCATAATCAGTGGTGTTGCTGCCCGGATGCAGTGAGGAAAGACCACCATCAAAGGTCTTTCAGCCAAAGTACAATGGGAGTCTGTTCAGTTATCGAATGCTCCCAGTGCCTCAAATCTATGTAAATAGTATCTTGCAAAAATAAAAAATGCCTTGGACTTTTTGGAACTGTCTGTAGTGTCAAACTCCAATCTTTGTTCTCCATATGCTGAGGCTGTACAAAACCAACCTGCTTTAGTAATTATGTATGCATATAAAGATTTTTATGAATAAAGTATATTTTTGAAATAAAAGAAGTCAGTTGGCTGGATGGCAACTTAGGTATACATTCTTAGTCTAGTTGCTGCTTGAATTCTTTGACTGCCGGTCACATGGACCAATCGTGGTCCTGGCCTCATTGCCATAATCAAATCTAAATGCAGTAATAATAGCAGGAAGAGCTGTTTTGACCGTTAGGACATAAGCTGCAAGCTGGAGGGTCAGTAAGAGACAGAAAGAATGGCTTCAGAATTATGTCTGAATCATGCAACTCTACATCAGATTTGGCGCAAAAAAACTTTAAGCAAAACTCACAACTTAAAACTTGTGTATGGACCCCATTACATGGCCGACATTAAAGCAGACCAACTTAAACTGGAGGGTTACTATTAGCTCTTTTACTAAACCACTTCCACCTCCATAAGATGATTGGTGCCTTTTAGTGTTTCTAGATTTGGCTATTCCAATGGTCTCCTTACCAGCTTCCCGTTATCTATCCTGTATAAAAACTTGTGTTCATCCAAAATCCTGCTACTGATATCTTGGCTTGTACCCATCATGCATGTGCTTGGGGCTCTTGCTTGACTCCTGGGACAAAAACACCTCCATTTAAAATAATAAGGCTGGCTTTTGAGTTCTTCCATAGCTTGGCCCTTTCAATTCTCTGTAATTATCTGCAGCCCATCAAATTCATCAGAGATATCTGAGCTCTTCCAGTCTTGAGCATTCTCAATTTTAATCCTCTCACTTTAGATGGCCATGTCTTCAGCTTGTAGCCTTGCACTCTGGAATTTCATTTCTGATCTTCTCCACGTCCTTTTCCTGCTAAAAGATAATCCTCTAAATCTGACATCTTTTATGAAGGTTTTTTTTAGCAGACTTCTGTGATATTTCCTCTTGTGACTTCCTATCGGAGATAGCAAGAACTACATATACTGGAGTCAGTGGAGACAATGTGGAGCTGGAGGAATACAGCAGCTCAGGCAGCATTAGAGGAGTAGGAGTGTTGCCGTTTTTGGCCTGGACCCTCCTTCAGGACCAGGAAAGGCTGCTGGATATCTCTCCCTGAAAGCATTCGTAAGCCAGATGTTTCTTTACATCATTGGTGATTAGTGTCATGATCACCATTACTGAGATGGGCCTCTTGTGCCTGCTAAGACATTCAGTAATAGCATGGTTGATCAGTTATGTCAACTCCAATTTCCTACCTGCTGAGACACTTTGACTCCCTTATTAGCTGATAATTTATTTAAATCTACCTTAAAAATATTCAATAACCCTGCCTCCACTGCTCTCGGGGGAAAAGTTCCAAAGACTCATAACCCTTAGAAAGATTTACTTCTCATCCCTGTCTTCAATGGGTCTAATTAATATAGTTTCTAAATTTATTTTCCTCAGTGTAAATGTACTTGTTCAATCAAATAGCCATACGAAAAAGCACAAATTGATTCCAGTAAATTTCTCCTCAAATACCGTGATCTTCTACGATGTCGGAGTAGTCAGCTGAGAGCGCAAGTGAGAGGGTTCACTGCGAGTAAGTTTTATTTAAGTAATAATAAATTAACTTACTACTATTTAAGTGATTTATGCTGTAAATAAAGTATAACATTTATTTTTTATTCTCCCTCCATTACATTTCTATTACTTAGTTTGTGTTTTTATATTGATTATGTGGACTTCTTGATTGTCTGGACTATTTGATCAACCGGCACACTCCTGGTCCCAAAAGTACCGATTTTAATAAAAAGTTTGCTGTATTTACTTAGTTGTAAGTTATTCGAACAGCAATTCTGTTTTGAAAACACTATTTTTTTCTTATTTAATAAACTATACAAAGCCCACCAGACTGAGAGGCCAGCCAATGCTTTGTGTCATGGCCCACATGGTCATCCAGCTTCCTTGTGTTTTGTACAATTGGATCACAAAGATAGTCACCAGAGTTTAAAAAAATCCAACCCATATATCAGACTGTGTAACAATCTGTACTTTATGTGAGGTGAGGTTCCAGGAAAGATTTTTGAATGAGATGGAAGTCATAAATGAGTATCAGATAAGTAAGGGTAAGGTCACCATAATCCTACCAGATCATAAGGCTGCTCTCATTAGAGCACTGTGCATCATAAACGAGCTGTCCAGCTGACTGACATAACCAAGCTCTCTTTGTCCGTGTATACTACCGTGTGGTGTTGTTTTGCAATTTTGGACCAGCAAGACACTTCCTGGTGAAAATGAAATATCAACATTAATTTAATGAAAGACTCTTTGTTTGTGGCTTGCCTGGGCATTTCCATGTACATTATGCCAACAGAATTGAGCAATATGGCTTTGTTCAGTTGATTTATGGGCTCATTTTCATGTTTTGTAATACATGGCACTTCATCACCGTGGTTATGAATGTTAGGAAATCAAAAATATTGTGAAACAAAATAAAACCTCAAGATGGTAACTGACTAGCAAATGAAGGCTCCAACATGGTAGTATTGGAACACGAATAGGATATTTTGTTCCTGAGCTTATTCTACAATTTAATTAATAAATCATGCTGAGCCATATCTATAATCCATCTACCCCCTCTTGCTTCTGAAATGCTTGTCCCTGTTTCCTAACAGAAGGGTTTCTACAAAATCCGGTACACAAAAAATGTCCTGAAGTTCTAATGAGAACTGATGAGATTTTAGCTAAGATACAGGCCTGGATTCAGAATTTTTAAAAATGATTTGTAACACTGGGAGATAAGGTGATTTGAATTACTTTTAAAGTGTGGGTGTTGGAATTACTGAGTTAGAGGGGTGAACTGATTCCTTATTCCACTCATCCATTGGCCGAAACAATGTTTGAATTTATAAAAGGAGGTTATATTGTCAATACTTTTCAGACTGTACGTAGCTCACTATCAGAAGTAAGTCAGCCAGATTCCTTAAGTAACCAAAAAAGAACAAGTTTATTGCTGAAACACAGAAACATAGAAGATAGGAGCAGGAGAAGGCCATTCGGCCCTTTTTGTGCCTGCTCCGCTATTCTTCACAATCATGGCTGATCGTCCAACTCAATAGCCTAATCCTGCTTTCATCCCATAACCTTTGATCTCATTTGCCCCTAGTGCTATATTTAGTTGCCTCTTAAATACATTAACAAAAGTTACTCGAGCAAAGACATAAAGATTATTAATTAAAAGGCTTAACTGTATAGATGTATACATCCAGTCTTTCAAAAAATAAGACACACAAAATTCAAAACCTAGGAAAAATATAACATTTTGCAGAGAGCTATCTTAAGTCTATTTTGGCCAAATAACTGTTGAATTAAAAATAAATTATTCACAAGTTGTCCAAATGTTGGACAATAACTAAAATGACTTTGCATGCATGCTGTTGGGACTGGTGTCTCTTGCTGGGTCAGTTAAGGTTGATTGGATTTACTTTCTTGAAGATAGTGATGTGGATTTCACGTTCTCTGTTTGTGCTGATGAGGTTCCCAGTGGATTTTTAACTCAAACTTTGGTAACAGGGGTTTCAGAGAAACAGAAATAGGACAAAGGCTATTGCTTGAGGTAAGCTATTTCTCTGACATGCTCAAATCCAGTATCTTTACTATATAGACAAACTGGGTCATGCAGCCTCTCTTTGAATGTTCACTCAGTGACTCCAGCCAAGCAGCTTGTGTTCTTTGTAAATATTTGTTCATCTGCTGCAGCTAGTCTCTTTTGCTTTGCAAAGACTCTTCCAAAAATATATATAAGATTATGGATGTATGTCTGATCAATGTTATTCTAAATTAATATTTCAGACAATACGTTAATAACATTATTTAGAGTGTTTTGGATTTTCTTAGCTGCTGGTGGTTGAATTTGTCAAAATGTGAGGAGGGTTTTCAGAGCAGCTTGTTGGATATGGATTGGCCTGAATCTCCTTAGCAAGGTGGAAGCTCTCAGTAAAAATATTTATTCAGTGTTGTAGTTACAGTGCATTAACCAGGTAAGGGAAAGACTCCTGTAAGAACTGCATTATAGTAGTCTAGAGTTAGCACAGCATGGTGAAGTATGTGCTGTATTTAGTGCCTGCTTCACTTGTTTTATCTGTCTTCCAGTCTTCAGTGATTTCTGCAATCAAATACATTATTTTCCTCGATTCTTCCTTGTTCCTGGTACCTTGGTATGCTCTGTCTTATTTAGATTCAAAATGGATGACCTCACACATATTCCAATTGAATTCCACCTGCTACAGTTTTGCAAATGTAGTGAAGGGTGAGGCCTTAATATAAAACTTTGGGAAATGCCGATAGCAAGATTCTGCTAATTCTAATACATATTCATGATCCCTACGCTGTGCCTGCTATCTCCTACCAAATTACCTACCCATGTTAGGTTGCCCCCAATTCTCCATGTCCTGATTTTTTTTTTAAAAAAGATTGTCTCTTATATTGTTATTGAATACTTTACAAAGATTTTGTCTTATCAACTGCTTTGGCTACTGCTACGAAATAATCGAGTATTTTGTCATGTGTGACTTAAATCCATAGCCAGGATTTTGTGTGAACCAGCAAAGACGAGATGTGGGATTGGAAGGCTGTGTGCTGATGCTTCTAGTCTAATTCATGATCTCACTGAAATCTGGCATTGGTCAGCCTCTTAGTAGACAAGGCAGGATACCAGCTTGACCATTTGCTGGTTAAAGGCAGAGGCTGAAGCCTTTACATTTTTGACACTCGCAAGTGGGTTGGCATTATTTTTAAAAGGTTACTAGCACTGCAATGCTTCTTCAGGCCTCCCTCATTATCTGTTCAATCATCCTTTCCAGGCTTCAGTCATTCCTTCCAAACCACTTGCAGTCATCCTTTTCAGTCTGGTTAGAGTCATCCATTCAAGAACTTTAGCCAGCACTGCAACCTTGCCAGTGGATGAAGGTCATAATGTCAGGAAGGAAGGCAATTTGAAGACAAACCAGGGCAGGTACTGTAATTATGGCAGAAAGAAGACCCCATATGGAGTATCCCTATAGTTCAGTGATATGCCTCTGCATGTGGGTGGCATGGTGGCTCACTGGTTAGCACTACTGCCTGTCAGTGTTAGGGACCCAGGTTCAATTCCAATCTTGGGCAACAGACTATCCTTGTGTCTGTATGGGTTTCCTCTGGGTGCTCCTGTTTCTTTCCACAATCCAAAGATGTAGAGGTTGGGTGGACTGGCCATGCTAAATTGCCCATAGTTTCCAGGGATGTGCAGGCTAGGTGAGTTAGTCATGATAAATGAAGTGTTACAGGGAAAGGATGGGAGGGTGGGCCTGGATGGGATGCCGGTGTGAACTCGCTGGGCCGAATGCCCTGCTTCCCACTGTAAGGATTGTATGTTCTCTTCCAAACTGCTCGTGAATAGTGGGGACAGGAGGAGGAGACCTAACCAGGAAAGCCTGAAGGGAGTTTGTGGAAGTGATCAGCAGCCATGGAGTAATCCAGAAAACCTGTCTGCAGTTGTACAAGCATATTAATACCCTCCACTCCACAAAGGTAAATATTCACATCTTTTTCCTTAGGGTCAGTAAATGATTATGTGCAAAGGAGCAGAGAGAGAGAGAGAGTCCATCATTGCAGTTGGAAGAGGATAAAGCTGCGGCAACTTCATTTAAAGGAACAGATGGAACTTTGCTAAGGGGCAGGTGTTTGGCAGTGTTGGCCCTTGCAAGGTTACTCCAGAGAGAACCAATGCCACATGACTGCCAGTGGGTCTGAAATCACCTGCTAGGATCTGATCAATTTAGGTATTGTATCTATTCTTGGGGAAACTACCATTAATCTTCTGTGTTCCCAAAACAGAAAACTGACTACAATACCAAGAAAATATCCCAGGCCAGTGGAGTGGTCCCATTTCTAGCCATGTGATACTGATGAAGGGGAGCAGCTGAGCAGGAAGAGCAGTTGCTACATTGCTCTATCGTAACCAGTGTGTTACAAGAGGGTAAGGAGCTGTTTACCGCTCAGGAGGATAAGCAGGAGTCAGAGGGTTCAGCATCATATTCTTTCTCAGTCTACACTAGTGCTAATACTTGTGTTGCTGGGTATATGCCTGAGAATAGATGGAAGATCAGAATCTGATATGAGCATCGCATGCTGTGTGCTTACCAACTCCCAAAGACTCTGATAGTTGAGGCCATTATAGAGCATGAGGAGTGTGAAGACCTAATGGTGCTTTCAATGGGCAAGTGCCCCGGCTCAGATTGTGAAAGAGGCTATTTAGGCCATGTGTAGCAACCTCCCTTGTGTCTGGTGATTCTCATAGAGATCCAGATTTGGCAGACCATGTCGCGAATGCATGTCCATGGGCTGTACACCAGAATGGCAATGCCAGATTGGGATGAAGAACCTGGAGTTTCTACCAACACCTTGTCCATCTCAGGTGAGTGGGGAGGTTCAAGTGTGTCTTGTAACAAGGGGCATGGTGGCTGCCTTCTACCTCCGGGGGCTTGTTTTGGTGTGGTCTGGTACGGACAATGGTAACACAGTTGCTCTACCAGTCTCACCAGGTGCACAAGTTGCAGTGAGGATGGTGGAGGCTTTTTCATCCATGCAAGTCCACTCAGCATACTGAGGCTGTCCAGACCTCATAGGGCATGGGATAACTGGCAAGGTCACCCGAAACTACAGGGCATCAGCCTATACCTAGTGCTGAGCTCACACCACATAGGAGTATTTGTGAAAAATGAATAAAGCAGGCTACATGTATCTAGATTTTCATAGAATCTCTACAGTATAGAAAGAGGCTGTTTGGCCCACCAAGTCTGCACTGACCCTCAAGTGCATCCCATCCAGGTCCAGCTCTGCCCATCCTATCTTCCATTACCTGCCATTTAACCATGGCTAATCCATCTAACCTGCACATCCCTGGACTCTATGGGGCAGCATCTGTGGAAAGTTTGTCTCGACTTGAAACACATACTCAATCTGTCTCCAGAGATATTACCTGACCTGCTAAGCTTTTTCAGCATCTTGTTTTCATTTCTGATTTCCAGCATCCATGGCATTTTATTTAGCATTAGTATTACTGCTTGTGTCTGAATATGTTAATGATTAAGTTGTTGTGTCTTCTGTAGAAATTTTCATCTATTGTTGGAGTCACAGTACAACGGATTACACCAAGGATTGTTTGAGCGGGACCATAATGTCTGTGGTCATCTTTTGGATCATCCAGAACCACTATCCTACACTAGTCAAGGCAGCCTGGGCCGGCAACCAAGATGAACAGCATCAATAAAGTTGAAGGTTTGTTTTATTTAGTTGGAATGATAGTCTAAATGTATCATTATGTATGGATGTATTCCACTTCTCTGTTAGTACCAATAATTTACCATCTGTGTGGCCCCTTTATATTTTTCTGGATGCTGTGGCTGGCCATTAGTTTCCTCATCTTTCTCCTCTGAGAATGTCAGCACTAATTCCTCCAGACTATAGCCTCCTGCCGCTGCATTGCCATGTTTTGCAGAGCACAGCAAACCATCATAATCTAAGCATATTGTCACTGATGCATTTTGAATGTTCCCAGCAAAGCTATCTAGGTCCTCAGATGTAATTTTCAGAAGACTGATAGTCTGCTCAATGGTTTCTGCAGTTGCTGTGAAGCTGGTGTTGTATTTCTTCTCTGCATCTGACCGAAGATTCCTCACCAGTATTAACATTCACCTATTTAATGGGTAGCACTTGGCACCCACAATCTAACCATGAGGGCATGCACACAGAGGGTAGTAAATAGCCCAGGCAACTGGGACTGCATTGTGATGTAGCATTGTGGTTGCTGAAAAAATGCCATATGCAAGGCACATTGGCAGTACTGCTAGTTGCATGTGGAATCTTTTCCCATTGATGAAAGGCATTTGTTGAACTGCAAAGCCTTGGTGGCCACATGTGGCAGTCTATCACATCTTGCATCTAGGGAAATCCAGTGATGGTCCTAAATCCTCAGGTTGTCCAATTCAGCATGATAATGTAGAGATTTGACTGGTTCTCCTGGAGAGGGCATTAGTCACAAATTTGATGCAATGATATGCCATCAATTAAGAGATGCCACACATCTCTCCAATGGGTCCCTGGAATTAATCAGAGGCATAGGGTAGTGCTGGTTGTCGGCACGCCTTGGTCAAGCCAAAGGCCATACACTGGGGCGTGGAGGTAATGAGAGTAAGTGAAGGAAAAGGTTCCATGCCATAGAGTGGTAGAGCATTAGCCTTGTTGGGAGATGGATACAGTCACAGACTGGTGGAATTTACAGTTGCAGAGTGGAGAACAGCGTTGACCTTCTTCTTAACCATTCCTCCAGACAGCTGAGACTGCTTTAACCTTGTGGCATCCTTGGACCAGGCTGGTGTGCTCTGGCATCGTGGTGTCCATTGCTGGTCTGGCGGAGGGAAAAGTCCTGCCTGTGCGTCACCTCATCTCGCAGGATCTCCAGTTCCCCTTTAGACAAGGTGAGGCGCCAATTTCTCCTTGACTGCCATGTCTCGGGTGAATGTCACAAATTGTGCAGGGCAGTTCCATACTGACCGTACCAGGTGCCCAACTGATTTTTAAAGATGATTCAGGTGCAAAGCATTCCTGCAAATTCCAGGCTATCTACTGAGTGGCAGATTGTGTGGCAGGAAAGGCACATGGTAAGATGGGGTCAGAATTAGTCGTGATGGACTCCATAGGGGCAGGGTAAGTAGTGTGTTTAGTAAGATGCAGTGAGAACACTCACTGGTGTCATGGTAGAAAAGCCTTCAAAAACTGGAATACAACTCAAACTTAGCCAATAAAAAGCATAAAGTTCAGTACAAAGACATTAAGGGCTACAGCAAAACCTTCACCAGCATTAGGATCAGGTGACCTCCAGTGCTTATGGGCCTCTGCTTGTCCATTATCATTACTTCTGTTTCCCATTCCTGTAGAATGTAGGGATACTGGATAGGTTCTCCATTTGTCAGGCTGTGACTTTTTTTCAGTGAATGTGTTTCATGGCTACTATTTCCAAACTCAGATGATTGTACAACGTACAAATGCATTTCTCCAAAAATGACAGTAGTACTTGCTGGAGATCCACAACTTTTGACCGCACTAGTGAAATAACTTAAATGAAGGAATAGAAGGACATGTGTCTAAGTTTGCCAAAGGGTCTGATTGCATGACACAGCAAACAATGTAGCTGAGAACTGAATGTTGCAAAGGCCCATGATAGTTTAAATGACTGGGCATAAGGTTTTTCATGTGAGGAAGGATGAGGTCATTTATTTTGACCTAAAAGAGATAAATCAGTATTTTATAACTGTGCAGGAGCAGAGAGATTTAGGGATTGATTGAAAACTTCAAAGCTGACATGGATAAATTTTGTGAGAAGGGCATTAAAGATTATAGAACAAAAGTGAGTAGATGAAATTAAAATACCAATCAGCCAAGATTTAACTGGTGAAATAGACTCTTGGCTGAATAGCCGCCTGCTGTTTTTTTTGTTATGGTGATTCTTTCATTTGCTTGTCAGTTGTATCATTAGGTTTTATATTATTTCCCAACGTATTTTATTTCTCAAGACCTGTTATTTTCCAAGATTCATTCCTGCTGTTCTATGTTGAGCTGCCTGCATGTATTACAAAACCACATGAAAATGAGTGTTTAGATCAAATTCAATTTGTGCTTTTATTCTGGAAAATAAAACATCATCAATTTGGATAATGCAATCTTCCCCCAAATACTGCCTAAGATAGTTTACTGCCCCCTAAAAATAAACAATCTGCATATATTTTTTGTTTTCTCCTCCATTTGGTTGATTGCTCAAAGTCAATTCCTGTCAGAGTCAAAGTACCAACAGTTGCGTTTCATACCAAATCGAATAGGAAAATTGCAACATTGTTTCAGACCGCTGACTCAGCTATCTCCATCTTAACTTAGTGAACACAGGAGTATCTATTGGGTTACATCCATAATTAAACATTTTGCTTCTGCTAAGTTATACATGAAGCCTGTAGAAGGAAATATTAAGTACCTTGTATTTTCATGCTAAATTAAACCATTGAACTGTTGACCTAATTGAATTAGCCTTTAAAGGAAAGTAATTCCATAAACAAGGCTGAAGTTTCAATTAACCTTTGACTTTTTAAAGTGATTCTGTTCTAATGTTACCAACTCAGTTAGATTCATAACATAACACACCCATTAATTGAATCACACAATTACTCCAGAATGATTACATTTACATGTTCCATATTCTCTACATTTGAATATCCCTTCACTTGATTTTGGCAGCTTTCTGGTCTCGTAAGATGATGAATTGCACCTTGGGTGGGTCCACTCTGTGTTTAGCTGGTATGACTCAGGCGCTCGACTCTGATACAGCAATCTCTTCCACTTTTTTTATTCACTCATAGGATGTGGATGTCACTGGCTCTGTCAGCATCTACTGCCCATCCCTCGTTATCTTTGAATAAGTGATGGTGAACTACCTTCTTGAACAAATGTAGTCTATGTTCCATAGGTAGACCCATAGTGCCAATACTGGAGGGAGTTTCAGTATTTTGACTCAGTGCTACAGTGGAAGACAGTAGGCTGAGGAGGTGCACAATTCTCAGGCCTCTGTTCTCTCTGTATGCTTTGCTTAGCCAGCTGAGTTTCTAATTTCCACTTGGCTCTTCCAATGCTCTTCCAAACAGTAAGCCTTCAGAGGTCACAGACGTAAGTGACTGTGTGAATTATCCATGTGAATATCCACCAACTTTGTGCCTTACATGCAAGTGTCCTTGCAGTGAAGGTACGGATGCCCATGAGGTTGAGAATCCAATGGCCAATTCACTGAGGTCTTTGTGCAGCAGTTGTTCATCCGATCAACATAGTAAACTAGCACAGACATTGTTGCCTTAGAAATGAGTTTGTGGAATTACAAGTTCTAGTAAATCTGAGATGGTGACCATGCCCCACCATGGGACGCTGAGGATATGTCTGGATTGTTGATGGTAACAGCTTTTCTGCTGCCTAACATATGTAGCCCAGTTCTCGCCATTGTAAAGGAGTGTACTCTGGATGCAGGTCTTGGTAGATTCGCAGTTTGATTTCTCAGAATGCTGTCTTTCATAGCATCATAGAGTCACACATCACAGAAACAGGCCCTTTGGCCCAACTCGTCCATGCCAAACAGGTTTCCTAAACTGAATTAGTCCTGTTTGCCTGCATTTGGCCCATATCCCTCTAAACCTTTCCTATCCATGTACCTGTGCAAATGTCTTTTAAATGTTGTAATTGCATCCACCTCTACCACTTCCTCTGGCAGCTTATTCCATATACGTTCCATTACATTTATATGTCTCATGTTCCCTATACTGAATATCCCATTTCTTGATTTTGGCAGCCTTTCTGTCTTGTAAGATGATGAATTGGACCTTGGGTGGGTCCTCTCTATGTTGAGCTAGTATGACTCAGGAGCCTGACTCTGGTATGGCAACCTCTTCCACATTTTTTTAATCACTTATGGGCCGTGGGTGTCACTGGCTCTGCCAATGTTTATTGCCCATCCCTAGTTGTCTTTGAATAAGTGAATCAAACTGCCTTAATGAACCACTGCAGTCCATGTGCCATAGGTAGACCCAAAATTCCCATACTGGAGGGAGTTTCAGTATTTTGACCCAATGCTGTGCTTCGAGAGGCTGGTCATGGCCCACATCAACTCCAGTCTCCTAGCATGCTTCGATCCCCTACAATTTGCCTACCGACATAGCAGGCCCACAAAGGATGCCATATCCCTAGCCCTGCACTCATCCCTGGAACATCTGGACATCAAAGACACCTATGTCAGACTCCTGCTTGTTAACTACAGCACCGCCTTCAACACTGTTATCCCCTCCAGATTGATCTCAAAACTCTGTGACCTTGGTCCCAGCTTCGCCCTCTGCAACTGGATCCTCAGCTTTCTGACCCACAGGCCACAATGAGTGAGGATAGGTAACTGCACCTCCTCCACAATAATACACAACACTGGAGGCCCTACCCCCTACAAAGATGCAACCTCAGCCCCGCACTGTACTTCCTTTTACACCAATGATTTTGTTGCCAAATTCTGAATGAAAGCTATCTACAAGTTCACTGACGATATCACCATAGTGGGACGGATATCTAACAATGACGAGTCAAACTACAGAAGGGAGATAGAGGGCTTGGTGACATGGTGCAATGAAAACATTCTGTCTCTCAACATCAGCAAAACTAAAGAACTGAGCATTGACTTCAGAAAAAAAGGAGGAGAACATGCCCCCATCTACATCAACAGGACTGAGGTTGAGAGGGTGAAGAGCATCAAGTTCTTTGGAGTGACGATAACGGACAACCTGTCCTAGATTTCCTACGTAGATGCATCAGTCAAGAAGACACAACAGCGTAGCGTAACCTGACCTTCTCCCACTATTGGACCTGATCCTTCCCACTCTGGACACAACATCGCTGCCCTGCCCTAAGGCCCGACTCCTCACCACCTCCCCAAAAACCCTCTGTCTTCTGACCCCACTGGACCTGCTATCTCCCACCTACGCTGACCTATCCTAAATGCTCCACTTACTTGGATGACTTGCCACCTTGTGCCCTGGCACGCTACCCACCTTACCCCCTAGCCAGTTGGCACCCTACTTACCTGGCACCACATCTCCTTCTCACTGGGCACTTGACTGCCCTGACATCCTAACCTCATGCTTTACCCTATGTGCTTACCATTTCACAGCAGCTATCAAAACGGTAATGATTATAGACCTTTAAATTTCCGAATATGGCAGCTGACTGAAAAATTGGGTGTGATTTGCCATCCCTGGATAATTCTGCTTTGAGGGATCTCTCACAATGGAAGTTTTGCTCCATATCTCTGAAGGAGTTCTGATCAGAAGAGCCTCCTGTCAGAAATATACTGGTCTTTAGTTGTGTATAAAAGAAAGAACAGATTGCCACACCAAGGAAAATCCAGCCCTACACAGCATATGTGACCAGTTTCTGAATTTTCTGCAAAGAATAAATTGTTGAATGTTGTGACCATAAGTAGAGGACTTTTTTTATTCATCCATGGTATGTCTGTGTCACTGGCTAGGCAAGCATATATTGCCCATCCTTAACTGTCCAGAGAATTGTTAAGATTTGACTACAATGCTGTAAGTTTGGAGTCCCATTTAGGCCGTACAGGGTAAGGATGGTAGAATTCCTACCCTACAGGACATTAGTGCTGATGGGTTTTTATGACAACTGACAACGGTAACCTGGTTACCATAGTTCTAACCTTTTTTTTGTTTCTGATTTCTTCTACTAAATTAAAATTTCACGATTAGCCAAGGTGTGATTTGAAACATGCCCTCCGAATATTATCCTGAGATTCTGGATTACTAGTCCATTGACATTCCTATTATGAGTAGCGTTAACATTGATAGTTGAACAGGTGATTTTGAAATTCTGGCTTTTTGGGTTGGTTGAAACATCTTTCTGTCCAGCAGCACACGAAAGGATTTTTGTCTGCCTGCAGTGCAGGGATGTTTAATGCCTGTTCTTAGAACTATAACCCTCTCAGCTCACTGGTCAACACAATAGGACATCAGGCCACTAATGCACACAGACAAAACCCCATCTCTTCCTTCCCCATCCCCCCCACCCCCCACCCCCACCCCCACCCAGCCACCTTGGATATTTAGATCTGATTCAATTTTTCATCAATGAGACAAAAGTTTATGAAAATGGATTAGTGAGCTATTGGCATTCAGAGAAGGGACGAGGTGTCCCCAGTTAGTGAATAGGAAGTGGAGAGGATATGAAGGAATGGAGTATAAGGTATCTGAGAGTAGTTGAGTGGATGTGATCTTTTAGATTAGATTAGATTTATATTCACATGAACCAGAATATAGTGAAAAGTGCAAAGACTTGCCGCTGTATGGTGCTATCTAGGATTTCTAAATAAAATGCAAGAAATCAAAGCATTGGATTTGGAATAACAAGGTGTCGAACTGGATGAACACAGCAGGCCAAGCAGCATCAGAGGAGCAGGAAGGCTGACGTTTCGGGCCTAGACCCTTCTTCAGAAATGGGGGAGGGGAAGGGGGTTCTGAAATAAATAGGGAGAGAGGGGGAGGCAGATAGAAGATGGATAGAGGAGAAGATAGGTGGAGAGGAGACAGACAGGTCAAAGAGGCGGGGATGGAGCCAGTAAAGGTGAGTGTGGGTAGGGAGTTAGGTCAGTCCAGGGAGGATGGACAGGTCAAGGGGGCGGGATGAGGTTAGTAGGTAGGAGATGGGGGTGGGGCTTGAGGTGGGAGGAAGGACAGGTTAGGGAGGTGGGGACAAGCTGGGCTGGTTTTGAATGCGGTAGGGGGAGGAGAGATTTTGAAGCTTGTGAAGTCCACATTGATACCATTGGGCTGCAGGGTACCCCTGCGGAATATGAGGTGCTGTTCCTGCAACCTTCGGGTGGCATCGTTGTGGCACTGCAGGAGGCCCAGGATGGACATGTCGTCTGAGGAATGGGAGGGGGAGTTGAAATGGTTCGCGACTGCAGTTGTTTAGTGCGAACTGAGCGTAGGTGTTATGCAAAGCGGTCCCCAAGCCTCCGCTTGGTTTGCCCGGTGTAGAGGAGGCCACAACGGGAACAGCGGATACAGTATACCACATTTAGGTGAACATCTGCTTGATGTGGAAAGTCTTCTTGGGGCCTGGGATGGGTGTGAGGGGGGAGGTGTGGGGGCAGGTGTAGCACTTCCTGCGGTTGCAGGGAAAAGTACCGGTTGTGGTGGGGCTGGAGGGGAGTATGGAGCTGACAAGGGAGTCCCGGAGAGAGTGGTCCCTCCAGAAAGCAGATAAAGGTGGGGAGGGAAAAATGTCTTTGGTGGTGGGGTCGGATTGCAGATGGCAGAAGTGTCGGAGGATGATACGTTGGATCCGGAGGTTAGTGGGGTGGTACGTGAGGACGAGGAGGATTCTATTTTGGTTCTTATTGCGGGGAGGGGGTGTGAGGGATGAGTTGCGGAAAATGCGGGAGACATGGTCGAGGGCATTCTCGACCACTGAGGGGGTGGTTGGAATTTGGTTTTGTCCAGTTGATGATGTCTGTCCAAGGGCTCAGCTCCTGCTTGCCTAATCATCCATGATATCTTTGGCTGTCCCTCTTGATGCTGGAAGTTAGCTGGGTCCTGGACAGAGCTCCTCCGCCACCACTGCTTCTGCACTCAAGGCCAGCAATGGGCCTGGGCCCGTGCAGGGCTGGTAGGGTCCCGGTTCAGGGCTCCTCCACCACCACAACTCCTGCAGCCATATCTGAGCTGAGGCCTGCACTGTGTCTGCCGGGATCTGGGCTTCTCATCCACCATTTTTGCTGCTCCTGTCGTGTCCGAGCATGCAGTGCTGAGGTTAATAGACCTTGGTGAGAAGCATGTGCAGTGGAAGGTTCAGAGCTTGAGTTTAAGTTGGCAGAGAGGAGATGATGGTGATATTCTGTGACATTTTCTATGAGCATTGCAGTATGAGGGGTAGTTCTTAGCTTGCAACATTTGAAGTGTTGTGCAGCTGGCCTTTGAATATAGTGCTAGAAATGTGCAAGCCAGAAAACCCTGGCAGTGGCAAGAATTTTTGCCTTCCTTACCGTAAAATTCCCCAAGAAACCCGTCCAACCCTTTTTATTTAGGTTGTGCTAAATCGCCCCGTAGTGTCCAGCGTTGTGTGGGCTAGGTGGATTGGCCATGGGAAATGCAGTGTTGTCGGGAGAGGGTGGGTGGGGGGGGTAGGTCTAGGTGGGGAGCTCTTTGGAGGAACGGTGTGGACCTGATGGGACAAATGGCCTGCTTCCACACTGGAGGGATTCTATGACGTTATGACTCTATAACATCTTGATTTCAAAATTAATGAGGTGAGAAAACAGATTTCATGAGAAAATGTGCCCCATGCCAATGTCAAGCCAAAGCCCATGAAACTTATTCACTACCACACTTCAACCACAAGTGGAAGAATTCAACCCATTATTCCTCAGAGACTGAGATAACAAGGTGAAGAGCTGGATGAACACAGCAGGCCAAGCAGCATCTGAGGAGCAGGAAAGCTGACGTTTCGGGCCTAGACCCTTCTTCAGAGACTGTAGTGTTACTGGATAAAATATTTATACTGTTGAGTTTATGTTAGGGAAATATATTAAGGAAATTAACTTAGTTTTGACTTCAGAACTAAAGGTTCAAAGTCTCAGTTGAGAAGAATCTGTATATCAATTTAGACAAAAACAGCTTAAGGCCCATAACAAGAAAACTGAAAAACCAGGTTTAGTTTGGGGGGATTACTTTCTTTTACTAAGGACTTTTCTAGTCTGTGGAGCTTCCAAACTGAGAACTTTTATAGAAGTCTTTAAGTCCTTAGAACCAATAATATTTGAGCCATCAGAATTGTTAGAGTTTCATGAACTTGGATAGAAAACATCAAACTGCATCCACAATCCATGAAAATAAAGCTGGAAGAGTCAGTTATGTAATGATTTAAAAACCTGAGATGGGAATGATATTTCTCTGGGAGTGACTCCAACTTGAACAACAAATTAAGGGAGATGAGGTGCTGATGACTCCCTGTGATCCAGATCTGTGTCCGTGGGATGTCGTCAGAATGTGGTCAAGATGCAATGATTACCTGTCTGAGCATCGAGGATACTGGAAAAAAGAGAGAACCTGTTCCAATCAGAAGTATGGCCTAATCCAGAAATCCAGGATACTACAAGTAAGATGGTACTTCTTTCAACAGAATGGTTGTCTTCCATGATGGCCATTTATCAGATTAAATGTTCTCCAGATGATGTTATGGGGCACCGTAACTACCTGAGCTAGTAGGAAGATGCTGCTCTACAAATGGACTTAGAGATTGAAGATCATCCAGATAAAGCAATGGACCAATGATAAGGCCTACCAGAAACAAAATCCTCCACGAAAAATATCCAAAAGTCAAAAACCCTCCGACAGGGAAATTATCCACAGATCAGAATTAAGGTCAACAGTCTTCAAGTGAACTGAGATGAGGAAGAATTTCTTCCGCCAGTGGATGGTGAATCTGTGGAACTTATTGCTACAGAAGGCTGTGGAGGCCAAGTCATTGAGTGTCTTAAGACAGAGATAGGTCCTTGATTTGTAAGGGTATCAAGGGTATTGGGGAGAAAGCAAGAGAATGGGGTTGAGAAACAATTGAGTCATGATTGAGTGGTAGAGCAGACTTTATGGGCCAAATGGCCTAATTCTGCTCCTAAATCTAATCATCTTATGATCTAAATGAAAGACCAAACATTCTTCCTGGTCTGAAGAGGATGTGTTTCTGGAAAATTTTGAGATGTCCAGACCATTACATTTGTGAAGTCAGAGACTTGGGAGGAGATAAGGAGTTGTAGAGGTAATATGGTTAAATACATATGTATGATGGTTATTAATGGGGAAAAGAGCTTGGGGAAGATGTTTTCCTGGTAATGTTCTGAAAGAGTTATAGCTGCGGTTAAATTAGCTGTACATAATCTGATGATGCACACAGTCTTTTTTTTTATTCACAGGATGTGGGTCGCTGGCTGGACGAGCATTTATTGCCCATTCCGAGTTGCCCTTGGGAGGTGGTAGTGAGCTTTGTTGAGCAGCTGGAGTCCATTTGCGTTAGGTAGACCTACGCTGTCATTAGGAAGGGAGTTCCGCAAACTTGACCCACATTGGAGGCAATTGAGTTCTGGACTGGCCTTCACAGAGAGCTCCTGAGAAACCTATTAATTGTGTCTGACTAGTAATATAGCTGTACTTATCACTGCCATTTAATAAACTATCTTGTTAACCAAAACAAGGACCTCTTCTATTTAGACTCACCAGTGGTCTATCCTCTACCACTGATAATTAGATTGGCCCAATGCACTGTATAGCCTGAGGAGGATTAGTGGCAATGAATTACCTTAACCATCCTATTGGCAGAGGTGGCAGAGACCACAAGGTCTCAGCAGTGGCAGTCAAGACATATACTATAACCTCATTGAATTTTGGCAACTTCTGCTTCCCTGATTTAATTGCTCCACTGTCAACAGCTATGCCTTCAGCTACTGAGGTCCAAAGCTTTGGAATTTCCTCCTTACACATCTCTGACTCTCTCTTTCATTTTCCTCCATTAAATAGCTTCCAAAACTTATTTCTTTGACTAAGCTTGTGGTCATCTGACCTAATATACCTAAAGTGTCTTAATATCATATTTTAGTTAGAATGGCCCTGTAAAGTGCTCTTTTGACATTTCAATACATTGAAGGAAATAGGTTAATTTTTGTCAAGATCAGCTCTCTCCTTAATTGCAGAGTTACTGTTGCCACAGTTAATGGTTCCTTTGTGACTTTTATTGATTCAAGTTCCTTCAAGCTCCTTTTTCACTTGCCTACACTTTTTCAGTATGCAGGTCTGGTCTACACACCACTTCAGCACATCTATACCTGCACGGTAGATTTTACTGTGCATTGATCATTCTCTTGTGAAAACACACCTGAGCTCTCCCGATTGTCTCATACTCCAATAGCTGGATTGTCACATTGTCCTCTCTTGGCCATGTTTGTAGACAGGATCTGGAAACCTGACAGTTAGCTGGATGAGTGCATTAGCTAAGTTAATGGTGTTCCTATACTTACTTGAGCTTTGCCTAGATGTTTGTCTCTAGTTTATGAGTGGACCACATCCCTTTGTACCTCCTGCAAGCCTTTAACCCAATACATCAAAAGGCAGTGTCTCCCAAATTGGTGAGCTGCTCCACTTCTCTGCTACTGTCAAAATCTTGCTATTACTGTTGAATTGCAGTTCTTTAGGCAGTCTCATCATGTGAAGTAAGGGGTTAGCCTCCAGTTATCAATTCAATGTGATTGCAAGGGACCCATGCCATGAGCTAGTGCAACCCTACTTCTTGTCATTCTACAAAAACATTCTTAATTCTTCCAAGAGATGGCAGTCTTTTTACATGTTTTTGGATATTGCATATATTTCAGCAGAGTTCCTCGACAGTGGGGACTTGACTTTCTGCCTCGCAGCCACTTTGCCACAAGACCCTAATCAGCAGAAAATATATCTACTGTACTGAACCTGATTGTGGAGTGATACTATAGTTGATTGCTTCAGCATCAAACATAGTGAAGCAATCCAACATCCGAAAAGATGGTTAACAGCAATAACAAGCGTTCTCACAAACTTCTGTCAGCCAATTATTATGTTCCTGCATAGCTTGTGCAGTGTGCCACTGAATTTATGGCAGACTTTTGGAAATCTCCAATCCATTGGTTTTCGGCATTATGCAATCTTTTCATGAGTTTGCACCCTCTCAGTGCAGAGCCTTGTTTGTCATTGATGTATATTTTATATCTTATAAACCGAGGTTATCTCTGCATAGTTCTATGTGCGGAACTGGTTCTATTCATGCTGCCTTTTAAAAGTAGTAATCTATGCTTATGGCTTGGGCTACCAGCTTCATAGAGGTCTGCAGCGCAGAAAAAGGCTCTTCAGTCCATCAAATCTGTGTGGTCTAAAATAACCATTGAACTATTCAAATCCCATTGTCCAATATTTGGCCCATACAGCTTATATGATGTGGTGGTGTTGTTGGGGCAATGCGTATTTGTTTGTCTTTATCTGAGGTGATGGAGTCTGGTCTCCAATTTCTTGCCTGTTTCTACCATTGAATAAAAACCTAGTTCCAATCACCTAAACCGATTGATTGGAGAATTTTTGATCTTTTCTCTCTTAATTGGCATAGATTTTTTCATTCACTTCGCTTCTTGGAAATTCTACAGTCATCAATGAGTAGAGAACATCTGTATCATGATGCATATGTTATCACAACTGTGTGAAACAGGGAGTCAGTTTTTGCAAGTTATGAATGTGACTCAACCATAAAACTAAGGCTTTATCTCTGGAATGCTAGGAGGAGCACTTCCACAAATGTGCAATGTTGTTAGCGAATTAGTGATTTCCTGTTTGTCAGGGTAAATGAATAGGTCTTAATTTTTAAAAGGTAAAATGAAAAATAAATATGGTACAATGTGAGAAATAAGAGTGCTGTTGAATTCTAAATACAAGTTAACAGTGAAGTAAGAAGTTAATTTGAAATACACAAGAAGAAATTAATCTTGGAACGATCTCCAAAGGGAAAGACAGAAAACTAGTGAATGACCTGTTCTGGTTCATCTTATCTTGAATACCTCACACTGGAGCTCCAGTCTCACCAGTATTAAGTATGACTTTTTTAAAAAAGGTGTTTTTGTCCCTCTGGGAAATCTGTATCCTTCCTGGAGTTGGTTCTGTAACTGGCAAAAAAGGATCTCAACTTTGTCTCACTTACAATTTATGATGTTTTTGCCAACATAATAAAACAAGAAAAAAATTATTTTTTTGAATGTATTTCATTGTACTTCTGTCTCAGTTATACAACAGCTGTTTGGTACTTGAGTACTGCTGAAAGAGGGTATGTTGCTGAAGCTTGTACTCGGGACAAATGCAAGAATACCAAATTTCAAATGATCACAACAATTAATGTGCCCTTTTCTCCTGTAGCATAAATAATGTGATGGAATAGTCTCCACTGCCTTGATGAGTGCACCTTCAATCGGGACAAAACTGTCCGCTTGATTGGCCTTCCATCCATGGCCTTAAACGTAAACTTCCTCCACCAGCAGCACAACATGCTTAGGGCTAACCTGAACCTCTTAAAGGGGAATTTCATTGTGCCTTGAGAAGGTACTGGCAACAGTGCAGGGGAACATTGAAAAATGGAGTCACATGGCAGAGTGTGGTTTCCAAGATGTTTGAGATTGTACTAAAGACCTTGGTCAAGGAAGTGAAAAGAAGCAGAATGGTTCTGTGCCTGCTCAGGGGATGGGGATGGTGGTAGATGTTATTCTTCAAAAAGTGGTGGGAGCAGATAGCTGTCAGGAATGAAACCCTGAGAATCCAAGAAGTTGCATGAAGTTTGATGATCTTACCCAGGTAGTCAAGATTGTACCATATTGTACCAATTGCATTATGAGGCTCAAATATAATTAATTTCACCACACTGCTATCACTTGCATACAAACAGTTTCTACCAACCAGCACTTACACTTGCCATTCATATGCTTCACCTACCATTTGGCATAGCTGCAGGCCTCACACCTGGATCCATGATGAGAGTCAATTCATCCAACTGATTGTACAATACTCACTGATATACTTTATTATCTTTCTTAAGATAAGGCAACTAGTGGCAGCAGGAGACAACCATTGGGAGATAGATGAACCTACATGTCTGAACCCCTGTTTTATAGATGGTATTGGCTATTGTTAGGATATCCATTACTGAGGCTGTGGCCAGTGGGCTGCTGAAAGCCATCAATGATGACCTCAGGTATCTTTCTACCCAATCCTGATGGAACCATCCACATCCTGTCAGAATCTCTTCTGATTTTTAAGCTGCAGATGGTGAAAATATACACCTCCCACTTCCCTACATCAGCCCTCTGCTTCCCTGCACAACCTGATCCTTGTATTTTTCCTCAGGAATGAAATGCTTGGTTTATTGGGAAGCCTGCTGTCAATGTCAAAGAGCATGGAAGAGTCTGGCTCTTACTTAACGCAGGTTTTTGCACAGAGCTTGGAATCTATCCTTTCCAATCTGTTCACACATGTGGACCCAACCATGCTGCTGGGTCTGATGGTTGTGTCTTAGCCTTCATTGCAGCACAAGAATGTCTGAGTTCTGCTGTAAAATTTTGGACGGAGTTCATGCAAGATCAGCTGGCTGCCATCATGGTTCTGGATTACAGTATGCAAAAACATTTGCAAGGGGTCATGGCAGTGCAGTAATCTATCCTCCAACAGATTATTAGAATTTCTAAGACACTGCTGTGGGGCAAGTGGCAGTGATTCCATGGACCACGAAGCTGTTGTTTTCTCTCAGGAAGACAGTTTTCAACTTTCCACCATAGCCACCCTGCCAGTGCCCTTGTGGTTGCCTGTCAGGTAGCATTGAGACAGCTACCACCCAAGGCTGCAACCAGGCCTTATCAAACCAGAGCTGCTGGGGTCATCCTGTAAAGCCACTTCTCACTGAAAATCAACAGACGTTCATCAACTATGCACAACATTGGAATAGTAGGACAGGCAAAGGCATACAGAACTTGGGGAAAATGCATGTAATGACTTTTACATGCAATATGGCATGATTGTACTTTTATAAAAAAAAAAAAAAAAGTTTGGTATGGAGTTTTTATCTTGCAGTGACTTTTATTTTTCCATTAGGCCTCAGCATACGTCAGTGAGAGAGGGCAGATGAGGTATGGGACTGTCAGCAGAAAGGACATTGGGGTTGTAATTACAAATATTGCACTCAAATGAGTTCTGCTTGGCTAACTAACCCTGAGTCAAGATTACCTCCTGCCTTCCTCTCTCTCCTCCTCCTCCTCTTCCTCCTTTTCATACTCTCATTCCTCAGCTTCTCAATGTACAGTTGGTGTTAAGGGCTGTCTCCTCATAATGCCAATGGTTGTGCAGAATGTAACAGTCCAGTCTAACTCTTGAGTGAAACCTTGCTGGCTATTGTAGGGCGCTGGAAGCACTGTTCAAAACACTGATGGTAAGCTCAATTATTTAGTGCTAGATTTGCTTTCATATTAGGCAGATGTGCAAAGTTTGTGCAGCAGGGTCGTTAGGCATGTGGTTAGCAGATTGCAGCAGTAGTCATCTCTAGCTTTGCATATAGAAATGGAAATGCATTGGTATCTCTGCTCGGTAAGGAATAAGAGTAGGAAAATTATGAAGTTACTGAATCTCAAGAATCACAAAATTGTTATGGTGTACAAAGAGAACATTGGCCCTACAGTGGTTCACATTTTGTGCATATAAGCATTGGCAATTAACTGAAGATTTTGTGGTCCATTTAGTGTATTCATAAAATTATTCCTGTCGGCAGTGGGGTTTAGCAGGCATATCTTCAGGCTCAGACTCATTGTTGTTCTCTGCTAATTGTTGCAGCTGGTCCTCCCAATTGTGCTATCCATCCTTTGTGGAATATCTGCACTCTTTGTCAGTTGAATTCACTCTCCTCCTCCATAGAGTCATAAAGATGTACAGCACAGAAACAGACTCTTCAGTCCAACTCGTCCATGCCAACCAGATATCCTAAATTAATCTAGTCCCATTTGCCAGCATTTGTCCTGTATCCCTCTAAACTCTTCCTCTTCATAAACCCATTCAAATGCCTTTTAAATGTTGTAATTGAAGCAGCCTCCACCACATCCTCTGACAGTTCATTCCATGCACTCACCATGCTCTGCATGAAAAACTTTGCTCCCTTAGGTCTCTTTTAAATCTTGCCACTCTCACCTTAAACCTATGCCCTCTAGTTTTGGACTTCTCCATCCTGGAGAAAAGACCTTGATTATTCACCCTCTCCATGCCCCTCAAGACTTTATAAATTTCTATAAGGTCACCCCGCAGCCTCTGATGCTTTGGGGAAAATAGCCCCAGCTTATTCAGCTTCTCCCTATAGCTTCAGCCCTCCAACGCTGGCAACATGCTTGCAAATCATTTCTGAACCCTTTCAAGTTTCACAACATCTTTCCTATAATAGGGAGACCAGAATTGAACACAGTATTCTAGAAGTTGCCTAACTAAGGTCCTGTACAGCCACAAGATGACCTCCCAACTCCTATACTCAATGCACTGACCAATAAAGGCAAATATACCAAATGCCTTCTTCGTTGCCCTGTCGACCTGTGACTCCACTTTCAAGGAACAATGAACCTGCATGCCAAGGTGTCTTTGTTCAGTAACACTGCCAAGAATCTTACCATTAAGTGTATAAGCCCTGCCCTGATTTCCCTGACCAAAATGTAGTATGTCACATTTATCTAAATTAAACTCCATCTGCCACTCCTCAGCCCATCAGCCCATCTGATCAAGGTCCCGTTGTACTCTGAGGTGACCTTCTTCACTGTCCACTATACCACCAATTTTGTTGTCATCTGCAAACTTACTAAGCATACCTCCTATGTTCACATCCAAATCATTTATATACATAACAAAAAGCAATGAACCCAGCACTGATCTTTGTAGCACACCGCTGGTCACAGGTCTGAAAAGCAACCCTCCACTACCATTCTCTGTCTCCTACTTTCGAGCCAATTTTGTATCCAAATGGCTAGTTCTCCCTGTATTCCATGTGATCTAACCTTGTTAACCAGTTAACCATGCGGAACCTTTCAAACGCCTTACCGAAGTTGATATGGATAACATCCACCGCTCTGCCCTCATCAGTCTTCTTCTTCACTTCTTCAGAAAGCTCCAATCAAGTTAGTGGGGCACTATTTCCCACGCACAAAGCCATGTTGACTATCCCTAATCAGCGCTTGCCTTTCCAAATACGTGTAAATCCTGTCCCTCAGAATCCCTTCCAACAACTTGCCCACCACTAATGTTAGGCCCACCAGTCAATAGTTCCCTGGCTTTTCCTTATCACCTTTCTTAAACAATGGCACCACATTAGCCTATCTCTGGTCTTCTGGCACCTAACCTGTGGCTATCAATGATACAAATATCTCAGCAAGGAGCCCAGCAATCACTTCTCTAGATTCACACAACGTTCTAGGGTACACCTGAACAAGTCCCGGTGATTTATCCAGCTTTATGCATTTTATGACGTTCAGCACCACCTCCTCTGTAATATTTTAAACTTTTTAAAGATATTGCTATTTATTTCCCCAAGTTCTCTAGCTTCCATATCCTTCTCCACAGTAAACACTGATGCAAAATACTCATTTGGTATCTCGCCATCTCCTGCGATTCCACACATGGGTGGCCTTGCTGATCTTTAAAGGGCCCTATTCTGTCTTTGTTACTCTTTTGTCCTTAATGTATTTGTAGAATTCCTTTGGATTCTCCTTCACCCTATTTGCCAAATCTATCCCTTGTCCCCTTTTTGCCCTTCTGATTTCCCTCTTAAGGATATTCCTACTGTCCTTACATTCTTCTAGGGATTCACTCAATCCCCACTGTCTATACCTGTTGTATGCTTTGTTTTTCTTGACTGGAGCCTCAATTTTTCAGTCATCCAACATTCCCTGTACCTCCCAGCCTTACCCTTTACTCTAACAGGAACATACTGTTTCTGGACTCCTGTTATCTCATTTGTTTTGATTTGATTTATTGTAGTCACAAGTACCTAGGTACAGTGAAACGTTTTGTTTTGCAAGCAGTACAGGCAAGTCATAGCAAACAAGGACACACATAGGTTTTAGAGTAGATTCGTAGCTCAGGTTGTGGATGTTGTGGTTGGTTGGCTCGTCGAGCTGGTTCGTTGTTCTGCAGACGTTTCATTACCCTGCGGGGTAACATCATCAGTGCAGCCTCCGA